TTACAGAAAGCTGAATTGTCTTCTGGTAGAACAATTTCATGGAAGATTTAGGTTGATGTTACGGAATGTAGAAAACAGCACTGGCTCGCTTGAAGCTAGGGATACTCATTGAGCATCCCAGGTGAAGTGATGGGGCCAAATAGTCCTTGGAAATGTTTACTTGGAAGCAGGGATGGTACACGTAAATTTCTTTCCAGATGGTTATTTGGTCTTCTGTGCTCTGTGTGCGTTCTGTATTGCTCAGCTTTTTTACCTGCTCTGCTTTGCTGTGCAGAAGTGACAGCCAGGCTTTTCAGTGATGCCACTGTGTTTAGCTCCTAAGTATACATGGAATAACTGCAGAGACCATGCACGGTGTTCACTTGAGAAGGAAGGAAGTGCCTGAGGTTAAGGGTGAAGGGTGATTGCTATATGAATTCTGGCAACAGCAGTGTGTTTTGACTTCCCGTCTTTTTTTCATGGTAGAAGATACTTGATTATTTTTTTTTTTTTAAGCACCACAGAAGAGTTCTTTTGTTGCTGCTGAATCGTTTGTATGACGTTCCTGCCTCCTGAGCACCACAAAATCCAGGAACCATTTATAGCTTGGAATGTATCATCTGCTCATGAGTCATCAAGTTCTAATCAACACTGGTGCTGCCAGAGATAGAGAGCTGTTTCACTTCAGTCGCTGAACAAACAGCTGCCCTTCTTCTAGATAATCTTTGGGGACAGGATAATAAGGAGGATGAGCAGAAGTTCTCTTTGCTTTCTCAAAAGGTAGTACCTGATGTCCTGTCACAGATGAAGCGTACCTTCCAGGGCAGGAGCAGCCCTCAGGAAGTAGCAGGCATAACAGGCTGTTTTCACCTGGGCTTCTGGCACCTCTTACTGGCAGTACATGTACTGTTGTGAAGAATGCACAAAGCCCTGCTTCTGCAGGGTAGCTCTTGCCTACTTGTTGGCATGGCAGGTACCTTTGTCAGCTCAGAAATGGGGTGAATATAAAGCTATGGATCATATCAGCAGGTGGCTGTTTAAAATTGACCTAGTCCTAAACTGCTTCCATATACCAGAAATTACAGGCACGAGAAGACTGGAGAGATTTCTGGCTTCAAGGTTGAACGATGGCATAGGTAGGCTGGAGAGAGACCAGAGAGACACAACAGAAATTATGGGTAGATGGAGTTTTCATTTTTGAGCACAGAAAAATATGCTCTGTATTGTTTAAAAGCACAAGTGGTTATGCCTAGCATATCTGGAACACTTTGAGTCCAAAAGGAGGAGAACAAGGAGAAATAGCAAGGCAGTGAACCAGTTCTGGCAGGTTAGAGCAGACTAGAGCTGTAAGGAGGAGAATTCTGAGGAAAGATTGCCAGCTAATGCAAAAGAGTTTGTAACTGTGATGGCTGTGGCCATTGCCTGGAAAACTCTGAGTATTTAGATGGAGGGTTTTGATGTCATGCCCTCAGGAACCTTGTCTGATCAAACAGATTGCATGGCCTCACTTGTTGGCTGCTCATGGGGTTGGTAGTCCTGGGGTAAGTTGTCTGTTCCCTGAAAAGGTGTTCTCTATCCTGACAGTGATGTGGTTTTGTGTCTTTATACTTATATATATATAAATAATGTTATTCTTCTCACTTTTGTTGAAAGTTATGCTAATCAGTTGCTAAGGCCATGCTAAAGTACAGCACTTGATTTCAAATAAAAATGTCTTTTGAGGTCACGTCTTCAATAGTATTTGAGTGTAATTAATTTTAATGCTGTTCTTTCGGTCTAGAATTAATTTGTAAGCTATGTTGGATGCTGGAATTTGAGATGATGACTCTTGTTTAGATGAGTTACTGATACCATTTTGTCCAGGCTGTTGTGCAATGGTCTTTCTTCAGTCTTATGGCAAATTGCACTTTATTTCTGTACGAAATGTTAAAATGAATTTTGATAACTCTTGGACATGACCTATAGAATTGTACATGTGAGAACTAACAGGCTTTAATTTCTCCCATTGTGCACCAGAGGGGAACACTGATGCAATATGCAGCTCTACAGATTGTGCCATACCACACCACCTTTATAACAGACTTTTACACAGGGGGGAAAAAAAAAACCAAAAAAACACAAAAAAACCAAAACAAAAAAACCAACAAAAAAACCCAACCACCACCAAACTGTATTTTATCTTACAGGTGGGAACCAGCGTGAACTTGCCCGCCAAAAGAACCTGAAGAAAACTCAGGAGATCCACAAAGGCAAAAGGAAAGAGGATAGCTTGTCTGCTTCTCAGAGAAAACAGAGGTGAGATCTAGCAAAGTTGAGTGAAATGGCTGAGCAGAGAAGGAGGGGGAAATGGGTCAGAAATAATCCAGTGTCTTAGCTGAAACAGCACTTAAGTACTTTGCTTTGATTCATGGTCCAGTCACGTGCCAGAGCATAAACCATGGATGAAGTTTTGCTCTATCTGCTGTTAAAAAGGGTTGGGTTTTTTTTTTTAAGTCCCATAAAGATTTTCTTTCTTTTGAGCAGCTTTTTGCCTGGTACAAACAGGAAAAGATTGCGTAATGCTTTCTTGAAGACATTTGATCTATTGTGTCCTTTACTTCTAAAACAGAAAGAATTATATAATGTCTGCTAATCAGGTAACTTGTCTGCCTTCTGGCATGCAGAGAAAAAACACAGGGTAATAAAAATAGTGTGCTCATGGCTAACTGAGGAATTCTATTCTAACCTTTTTCTCGTCTTGAAGAGGAGGCTACCAAAGGGCAAAAATAAACTGGAGGAGACTCTGCTTAGAAAAACTGTGAGCCAGTGTTTGATATCCAACTTCTTTTCTTCACAGAGACTCTGAAATCATGCAGCAAAAGCAAAAGGCAGCTAATGAAAGGAAGTCTCTGCAGGCAGGAGCAAAATGAGCTGCCCCTATGGATAAGACAGAGGGCGTCGACGAAGCAGAAGGGCCTGGAAGATCAAAGATCATTTATAGAAGTGTTCGGCCATTAAATGATTAAACATTTATTGTGCAGAGTTGTTCAACTAGGATTAGTGTAGAGTATTTTCTGGTTACCATAGGCTTAGTTGTCTGGAGTGCTGTTTCAAAACTGACTACACTCTTCTGCATGTGTATGAATAAAAGTACCAAGCAGTAACTTTACTCCAGCTTTTGCTGCATTTGTTAGTTTTACTTAATGGTTCCAGTAACAGGATTTCTGAATATCTGTGCAGTTCGACCAGATATGGTTGTCTCAGTTCCTGAAAGTACAGCTTCGTTCAGAATGTGCTTAACTTTACAGAGGTCTGAACTGTAAATCTCATCTTGAAATATTTTTACAATAAAATGTTGCGTGAAATACTGTCTAACCTGAAGTGGTTATGCTTGGTAGTCAGTGGATTTCTAAGAAGTTACCAAGAACACAAGGAATGGATAATATTGTGGATAAACACAGTACGTGTATGTAAGTATAATATAAATAAAGTTTATAACAAATGCATATTATAAGCAATATCGCATGCAATGTAAGTCTGCACTATAGGCAAAGTTGCCTGTTGAATTGCAGACTTTGTTGGTGTATAAAACTGACAGAACCTAGTGCTGATACTAACTTTTAGAGAAGCTGCAGGCTTGATATTAAGTGCAGTGTCAGCAGCTCTTGAAATTGCTGCATCACTAAAACTATTTTAAATTAGTGTTTAAACCTGCCTCAGGAACAAAAGTTGGTGTGAAAAAACTCAGCCCTTGGTTCATAGGCATGCTTGAGTGTACTGTGTGCTGACTAAAGGAGAACAGTTAGGGAAACTTCTCTATCTAACCATCCAGCAGCCACTCTGGCAGTCACTCTCACACCACCTTGAGCTGAGACCAAAGCCCCTTCACAGCTACACACCCCTCACTCACACGGACCAGGCTCCCCACAGCAGAGTCTCAGACGTCCTTATCCTTAATATAACCTAATCTTAGGTGCAGTAACTAAATAACAAAACAGCAGCTCAAGCTGGAGACTCTGAGGAGGGACTCTGAGCAAGGGAAACCTTGGGCTTTTATACCCGCACAGTCTACAGGGAGGGGAAAGTCTGGGGGTGCTCGACTGCTGCTGTGTCAGTGTCTGGTCCCTGGCTGGGCCACAGGTACCTGTGCAGTTCCTGGCCCCTTGCCTGGAGATTTTGCCACCCAGAGCTTAACCTGCAGCTCCACTGCAGCTGCACACTGTGCTAAATGTGCTCCTCAGCAGCTGTTTTCAGTCTCTAAAGAGAAAACTTGGAGGCCTTTGCTTGTGTCAGCTCTATCATATTTAGTGCATTTGCTGTTTGTTAACAGGCCCCTGACACAGCTTGAGGAGAGCTGGAAGGAAAACGTGGCTGGTTCTGGCACCATAATACCTACAGCTGGTGAGAAATTAAGCAAGTTCACAAAATTTTTAGGGTTGGAAGGGATCTCTGGAGATAATTCAGTCCAACCACCCCTGCCAAGGCAGGGTCACCTAGAGCAGGTTACCCAGGGATGCGTCCAGGTGGGATTTTAATGTCTTCAGAGAGGGAGACTCCATGACTTCCCCGGGCAGCCCGTTCCAGTGCTCTGCCACCCTCAATGCAAAGTTCTCCGAGGTGGAACCTCCTGTGGGCTCGTTTATGGCCTTTGCTCCTCGTCCCTCCAGGCACCACCGAAAAGAGTCTGGGGCCACCCTCTTGGCGCCTGCCTTTGAGACACTGAACTGCACTAGCGAGGTACCCTCTCAGTCGTCTCTCCTCTGGGCTAGACATGCCCAGCGCTCACAGCCTCTCCTACGAGAGATGCTCCAGACCTCCAATCATCCTTATGGCCCTTCGCTGGACCCTCTCCGACAGCTCCTTGTTCCTCCTTGCACTGAGGAGCCCAGCACTGGACACAGCAGGAATCCCCATTCTCGCTGCTCCTGGGCTCGGACCCGCCGCGGTGGGTGCTCCCCCGCGGTCCCGGCGCGGTCCCTCCTGAGGCGGGGGCGGGTCCGGAGGGCACGGGAAGGGAAGGGGAAGGGGAAGGGAAGGGAGCGGGAGGCGGGGCCGGAACCGGAGCCGGGCGCGGGCATGGCGGACGCGGTGCTGTTCCGGCGCGGCACCGGCCAGGTGGGGAGCGCGGCGGGCGCGGGGGCGGGAGCGGGATAGCCGGGATAACCGGGATAACCGGGATAACCGCGGTAACCGGCGCTGTGCCCTCCGCAGAGCGACGACTCCGACATCTGGGACGACACGGCCCTCATCAAGGCCTACGACAAGGCGGTGGCCTCCTTCAAGGTACGGGGGATCCGCGCGGCCGGGGCCCCGCTCTGGGCGCTGAGGCCGCTGGATTGGCGTTCACTGTTTTCCTCCTTTCTTTTCCCGAAGAACGCCTTAAAGAATGGGGAGTGCTCGGAGCCCTCAGACAAGCAGGAGCAGCGCATGGTGATAAAGAGGAAAAACCATAAAAAGAACAGGAATAGAAAGAAGAGCAACGCAGCGCCTTTGAAACAGGTCCGCTCGCCTGTGCATGCCGGTCGTGCTGGCGCTGCGTGTTGTCCTGCTCTGCGGTGCTCAGAAGTAGCTTCTTCAGCTTGGCAGTTACATTTTGGGGTAGGGGTGGTAACATTATAAACTCTTTTTTGTGAGTTACATTGAGCTATTTCACAAAATACAAAAAAAACCCCACCGCACTGTAGGTGGGCGTCACCTTTCTCGTGGCTGGGACAAAAAGCAATTTTAATAAGAGGCACCTTGTTGGTGTAGGTATTGACAAGAGATTGCTTCTGTTGCAGTGGAAGGTTGGTGACAGGTGCAGTGCTGTTTGGTCTGAGGATGGCAATCTGTACCTGGCAACTATTGCCTCCATCAACCAGAAGAGAGGCACGTGTGTTGTCACTTACACGGGATACGGGAATCAGGAGGAGCAGAACCTGTCTGATCTACTTCCTCCAGCCAGCGATGAAATAGTAAATGGGACGGGGAATTCTGGGGAGGTGAGGGACGCTTCTTCATTCTCGTGTAAAGGAAAGAGAAAACGGGACAATTAGCTTCTCTCAGTATGTCTGGCGGCACTGCTGGTGCTCAGAGAGAATCGGTGCACGATTCTGTTGTGAACAGACACGAGCTGATGGAAGGAATGAAAGGGTCCTTTTACTTCTTTAACTCAGCATGAAAGAGAGGGAGGGGACAACAAGAAATTCACTAAGGAAAGAAAACATAGCTAAAATGGTGAGCAGATAAAGTTGTGAGATTATAAAATCATTGCTGAGTAGGACTGGGAGGGCTAGGGAGAGGGAGGGATGTGAATGGGACTTTCCAGGCTTTTCCACACTAAAACTGTCAGCTGTGAACTCCTGTTTAGTGCATTTCCTAAAAATGTCTTGGTCTTCTAGAATGAAAATGAGACTCCATATTCAACAGATGAAAGCGAAAAATCTTCCCAGTCACCTCGAAACAAAAACAACTGCACAAAAGCAAGATTCTCCCCTCAAAACCTGCGATTTCCCACACCACCACCACCGCCACCACCGATCCCAGGCCTGGGAAGGGTAAGCTCAGCCTTATCTAAATAATTCACATACCACTATTAAGCCTGGTATTGTTGTGAACACTGAGACAGTAGCATTATATTTATAATTGTCTAGAGTTCAGTTGGCCGCATTTCGAGAAGGGATGTACAGATATGCTTGGTAGAACCTGTTGGTTTGTCATTTTGTGGTACTCTGGCTACAGCGTAGCCCTTTGCAGTGCAGTCTAGTGGGGAAAGCTTTCTGCTGCCTGGGTAACACTTGCTTCACAGTTGCCATGTGACTTCCAAGAGGGAAGTTTCTCCCTGGACTGGGATAGTGCTGTTGATGTTTTAAGATTTCACTTTTTCTAGTCAGTTGGTATGTTTCACAACGTGGGACTTTGAAGGCATCAAAACTGATGTCCACATGTCAAAGAACCTTTCAGCTGTAGCTTCTCTACTGAGTTATGAGGGATGGGATATTGATACACCCTTAAATTTTCCTGTGGTGTAGGAGTCTTAAGTAATAGCGCAGTTGAACTCAGCATTATGTTTTCTAAATATTATTGTTTGGGCAAAATTTCTTTATAAGGTTTTGTTTTTTTCCTTCATATCAATAGATTTGTGTCTAAGATCTTTTTTAAGACATTCACCAGTGTAATGGAATTTGGTCAACTTGTGCCCCAGCCAGACAGGAGAAATTATCTGTTTCCCTGTGTGCTTATTAGATATGTTTCTTTCAATGACAGTGGAACGACTGACTTCCATTTAGGAAAAGCTTTTTAAAAATGCTTGTATTAAATAGAGCCCTGTTTCAGCCCTGTTTCCCTCAGTGACACGTGTATTGTAGGCTGTACTATTCAAGTCATGGACTATGCCACAGAAATAGCTACTGGGTGTATTTTCATTAAGTTGCTGGGGTGTGTTGCCTTAAATTTAAGGTATGTGAATTGCTTCACGTAATTCTCTTAAGTAAAATACTAATACCCCAGTTTCCTTTTTAATTTGTTTTGGTTTTTTTTCCATGTAGCCTGGATCAAAATGCAAGACACCGCCATCATTTTTATCTTGCTGGCCGCCGCCTTTCCCAGCAGGACCACCGGTAAGTGGTGGGAGCACGAGGAAGAAAGGTGTTGGTGATCCCAGGTTTTCCCACTGAATGTGCTCACTGCCTGTGTTTTCAGAACACGTTTGTTAGAGCCTGTATTTTTCACGTGTAAGTTACAATAGTTGCACTGATCTAACGCACAAGGTCTGATTTGCATTCGGTTTTGCTGCAGTGAAGCTGTTGGTAAGAATATCAAAGGGAAAATTATTTGAAGAAACTATACCTTAAATCAGTGGTATTTCCCTGAAGCAGATTATATTTCCCCCTAATAAATTTGTGCACAAGCAACAGGAATCCTGTTTCTCCCAGGCTATGGAAATTACACGTGTTCAGAAAACATCATCTTATTTTTCAGAGAACACAGGATATGTTCCTATTTTCCAGTTTTATGTTTCAGCCTTTTGGAATTGGTTGCTCTCTAACCTGAGGTGCACCCTTTTGAAACAAAGACATTTCTTTTGCGATTTCTTAGTTGATTCCTCCTCCACCACCTATGAGGCCAGACTGTCCTGAGGACGACGAAGCATTGGGGAGCATGTTGATAGCCTGGTACATGAGCGGTTATCACACTGGGTATTACCTGGTACGTGCCACTCTTTGTTTTGAAGCGTCTTTGGAATTTTGCTGCTGCTGTTTGCAGCAAAGAGTTAGATAGGGAGGGCTGTTTTTTAGATCTCTTATATTAATTTACAATTGCTACGTTTAAAGCTGTTTTGTATTGTTTAAGTGTTGTTGTTGTTGTTGTTGAGTAGGAGTCACGTGAGCCAGTATGCATTTGGCATTTTTGCAGAGACTTTTCATGAGTAATTGTTTCATGTGATTGTGAAGGCCCAGCAGAAGCTGTCACTTGTATTACTGATTCATATTTTCCTAGGTACACTTAGGAAGAAAGAAAATGAGGAAGATGGAAAGGGAGGGTTTGATGCCATAGGATATCTTCAAATGACTAGTTTGGGGATTTCTTGTTTCAGGTTACATGTAATTGTGGATTGCTTTAATCTGCTTACAATAGAACAAGAAATACATACTTGAAATTATTCTGTAGAGTGGCTGATTATAAAGAACACATGTAGTTTGGCTTCTGTCCTTTTTTAAACTCCCTATTCTGCTTTCCACAGAGAGTTAAAAGCTATTTGTGATTCGTGAAGGACTGAAAAAGATTGTTCAGAAATACTTTTGTTCTGCCACTCAAGTTTTTACTTCCATGTTAGCAAAACCAAGATTATCCTAAATTGTATCCTGTAGGGTTTAAAGCAAAGTCGAATGGAAGCAGCACTGGAGAGACAAACACATGCAAAATAACTGAGTATCATCATTGTTCTGAAGTAAGTATCACAACTTTGTGAAGATACAGTAGTTTTGCATTCTCTTCAAAAACCCATGAGCTTTGGGACCTCCACCTGCTCTTAGAGCTCTCTACAAAGACTGCTTCTGCCAGTGTTAATCCCTTCTTTGCTTAGCACCTGTGGAATAGTATTTTCCCAGCTAAAATGAAGAAAAGTATTTATTGCTCTGATAATAGTTTTAACTACAGTATCACTCTACATCAGGATTAACAGTACAGCTTATTTGAATCATTAATAGTTAGTAGTGGGCTGTTTTGGAAACAAAGGGTTGTAAGTGAAATGCAGGTTTTTTGTCTGTGTTTCCTTACATAGCCAGCAGATGTGTAGCTAAACTGTTTTCAGGACAAGATCAGCATTTCAGTTTGATATTATTGAGCAGTTCTGTTCTCATTACTTCAGTGCCCGTGCTTTTATTTGGAGTATTTTCATGAGATTTCTGCAGTATATTGTTCAGTTCCTTATAAAACAAAACTGTATTCTCTTCAGGACTTGTTTTCTGATTTTCCTTGACAAGGTGTAATTTCTCTGTAGTTGAGTAATTCTTCTTTGTGTGTTTAAAAAGGAAGAAGCTCTCCTATACTAATTTCTGCTTCTTTTTTAAAGCCAGGTACAAATCTTTCCCACTGAGAGGTGTGTATCACTGTATCACTGACTGATGGTTGATGGTGAAGAACAGAATTCTATCAAGACAATTAGTCATAATGTTTGCTTAACACTCAGCTGCCCCTGTTAATGAGTAAAGAAATAACTTAAGTAACTTCATTTACTAGTAAGTAAATGTACCTTGAAATGAGCCATTTAAGACCTCCAGTCAAATGTATTTAGCAAGGACTGCAGCAACAAAGTATTTTTTACTTCCCTGAGACAATTTCAAGTCTTCTTACCACACCATAGATTTAACCTTTTCGATCCCACGTGGTAGATTTCATTTACCTCTCACCTTAACACCTCTTGTATTCCTCAGACATTTTGTCTGAATGACAGCACCAGAACCTTTGGTTATGGAATACTCCTTTACAAAAGAGAGCGCTGTGGCAGCAGTGTGTGTTACAGTGCCCACAGCTGGCAATGGCCCGGAAAACAGTGCACTGTCATAGCAACAGAGGCATCCTATGGGTCTGATTAGAATCATGAACATGGCAGCGTTATTCAGAAAGACCAGTTTCTTGTTTCGAGTGCTTGTTAATAAAGTTCTACTTTTCAAACTTTGTGGTCTGGTTTTGGGTGGTTTTATTTTCAGCTTCTGTAGACATTTGTTGGTTGGATGAAGGGCTGGAATATATCAGAAAGTCTTGCCATGTTGCCTTTTCATGAGTACCATTACTAAAAATAAATTAGGAAAAGCAGACTGTCTGGATACTGTAATTGGTAATACCATAATTATGGACAGATTTCATCACTTACCAGCTAGGGCTGAATGCTACTCTGCAATTCTACTCTTGCAGAGTAGAGGTGTAGCCACAAAACTAGGCAGTAATTTAGTTAATGCCAGTGATTTGCTTTTCAGGGAAATACAGGCCTCAACGTTACTGCATTCACTTCCTTTTCCTGCTGTGGTCAAGTGTCAGAGAATCAGTTTTCCCACAAATTAAGCAAAAAGAGAAAAACTTATTCATAACTTAGCTAAGCAACTTTGAAGGTGTTTTCTTCATTGTTTAGCTGAATTAAGATTGATTGCAGTGATGCAAAGCTTCTGTTCTGTTCATTGCTGAAGAGGCACAACTGCCCCCTCCCTTCCATGGAGTGCAGTCCTTTAACAGGGTGCTCCAGCATGGGCCCTCCACAAGGTCACAAGTTCTGCCAGCACACCTGCTCCAGCAAGGACTCCTGTCTTCAAGGGGCCAGAGATCAGGAACTTCCTATAGGTGCAGGCTCTCCATGGGCTCACAGCCTCCTTCAGTCATCCACCGGCTCCTCTTGTTGAGTCCTCTTTCACTCACATTTTAATTTATACATTATTAGCACTTCCAGTCTTGGAAATTAGTTATGACCATTATTACACATGGCAACTTTTATTCCTGCAAGGAAGGTAAGAAGTGGAAGAAAAGGAGGGCACTGACCTTTCTGAAGTCCCCTGCCCTCCACACGGCAGCACACTCCATCTTGAACACTGCTGCAGTTGTATCCCCAATCCCATCACAAGATATTTTGGTCTTTTGTCTCTTCCTCAACACTCTATGTCCAAAACCTTCAAGAACTACAAGAGTTCCTCACAGGCTTGCTAATAACCTCACTGACTAACTTATCTTGTGGCAGATCCAGTAAATGGGGAAATAACAAGAATTAAAAAGACTGAAGCTTCCCAGAAGCAAAGGAGACCTGACAGCCAGTGAATGCCAGAAAAAGAGAACAGATGATGGGAAAATTCCCTCCATGCTGTTTTAAATACACAGGACACAGCTGAAATTCTTTATGCATCAGAGAAATATTGGCCCTGATTTTTCAGGAGCTAGTCTGAACTGCTCTTCCAATGAGAAGGGTAGGAAAGTACACACCAAATTATTGCTGTGACCACAAGCAAGTAATGGAGTATAGGCCCACAACTTCTCGACAGCTTCTGCTTTCAGAAACAGAAGCTATGAAGGAGTATGTTATTTTGGTATCTAGTAAGAGAAAAGGCTAGAATGGATTTGAAGTGTTCAGGCAACACTCTTTTTTCCATTAGGAAATGCTGATTGCAAAGATGAAGATATCAGCAGAAAAAACTGTCTCAAGACACTGTCACCAGCATCACAATATCTTGAGCTGCTCAGGGTATTAGTTTGGCTTGGAATGGCCTCCTAGACCCTACCAAACCCCAGGGCTATGTCCTTTTTCTGCTAGTTTTTGAGGACACCCTGAGAGTAATAGGCATAGCACAAAGGCTTTACAGGGATTTTTTGACTAAGCACAAAATGAAATGCAGGTGAAGAGTCATTTTTCTGCCAACACAACAGAATGACTGCCTTCTATCCAGCCTGCAGGCATAAATGGTAGAAAAAGCCAAGAAAGAGCTATGTTCACAATTGAGAATTTTCATATTTAACAGACTTGAAAACTGCCTGTGAGAACTGAAATGTAGCATGTATTGTTTGTGTGTGAAGAGCATGAAAAGCGGAGCTAACTTAAGGTAGAGGTCTGAGTTTTTTGCTTGTTTGCAGTTTTAAGATTCAGTGGTTATACTGCCATTTCTAATCTGACAACAAAGCTCGCCATTAAAAAAATTAAGTCATATTTCATATACATCCAGAGTAACTCAGCCACTGATGTATTTACAATCATAAGATGACGAGAAAACCAGGTGTGACCTACTGCTGCAGACACTGCACCTGTAACCTCTTCCTGTGGTGTAGCACATGACAAGAGTCTTTTGATGTTCGGATAAGACCACACACTTCCCCTTCCCCACCCACCTTACTGTCTGTTGCTCTGGGGGTTTAGCAGGAGAGATGATGATGTGCAGTCCTGTCAACTCACTGTAGCCTCAGGACCAACAGCATCTCTATCTTCAGTACTGAGCCCATCAAACACTAGTTTGTATAAATCCAGGCCTTGCCCCTTCGCAACTTCCTTGGCTTTCAGCAACCTCCTACAAGAAAGTGAAACCACCCAACTGCAAACACAGCAGTAATAGAATTCAGTCAGCTTTGAGTTTCACCATTAAAACCTAAAATGTGTTTTCAGCACATTTGTAACAGCTGTATTTGAGCCGTCTTACTGAAGGCCAAGGTGAATACCCACAATACTTGAAATTAATATATGAAATATCTACCAATTACTTGCTCAAAAACTTCTTTGTTGAATCCTTGCAAAAGAATATTTTGATATGTAGAACTGCACCATCCACCAAAAGCAAAAGCTTGTTAACAACAGATATCTGAAGCATACTTTCAGGGCTTCTTTTTGAACAAATAATGAAACAAAAATGAATCACCACATTATCATAAAACCCAGTTTTATCACTTTCACATTTAAAAATATACACATTACCCATAATAACAGCTGGAAAAAGCCAGAGATTTTTAGACAAGGACAGAGAAAATAGATAGAGGTAATTTAAGAATATATTAAAAGTAATAAAATCATTAAAACATTATGATGCCATTGTTTGTCCCTCTTTAACCACCTTGTTCTGAGATGCGTCAGTTAAAATGATGGCTGAATAAACAAAATTTAATTCATGCAAGACTGACATAAATACAACAATTTCTCAAAGATATGATATCATACAGATATGGGTGCAGGATGCTCGTGAATACAGCCAGGGCAGCAGTGCAGAGAATCGTGGACAAACAGGTCGCATTCCACACAAAATGCATTCTGACACACTTTACATACGTAAACCTGTGTGGAAAGGATAGAAAAACAAGTCAAAATATTAAAAAAAGTCACCATCATAGCACTGCAGTAGGGTAACAGTTGTGCCATGAAAACATGTTGTTGACATCACTGAAACTCTGAAACACTGGAAGTTTCTAACAGCAAGTATATCCACAGGGCTGAGCTTCCAAATGGCTAAGAGTGGAAACTTCTTCATTCAGCTTCCTAGGAAATCCCTTCCCACACTTTTATAGACTCTCCAGTCTAAAAACCATGGCTCTTTAACACAGAACACTAGTTAACCATGACATTAACTTCCACAAACATTTTTCTGGTCTTAAGACAACTATACTAAAGGATCATCTCTACTTATCACACCTCTCAATGCAAATTCCAAAGCAGCTCAACATACTTACATTTTGGTCTTTCATTTCTCCGTGGCAGCCTTGACAATACCTGAAAGCAAAATTGTATTATTTTAACTGAAAAAAAAAGCCAATCAGTGTTTAAAAAGATCTTAATCATAGCAACAATTCATGGCAATTATTTCAGCTATTCAACTGAACTCAGATAACTGTTCATGGGAACTACAAATATTTCTTAATGCCAGAGGTGCCCAAACCCACACAAACATTCAGTGCTCCATCAGCAAAGAAGCTGCTGCCAGCTGTTCTTACTTTGGTGACAAAAGAATTACGGGATTCAGATAAATATGATTTGCATACCGTTCCCCCTTGTATTCTTCCAGTGGAACTTCCTGGAATGCATCCAAAGGAAACAAGTGATGGTACGACCGAGCCAGGTGAGGTGCAGACACCAGTGTAAGACCTGCAAATAAAGAGACATCAAAATTATTACAAGGGAGGACTTACTGAAAAGCTTTTCTGTATAAAATACAGTCAAAAGGAAAAAAAAATATTTGAAATTACCCAGTGGTTCAGAGCTTTCAGGAATTCAAAAAATTAAAATTATTTGTTCCGTTAGCTTCTATAAGCCAAAGCTGTAATCCTTTCCAGCTTTAAATCCTAATATAATAAACAAGCAAATTGCTCAAATTTCTACTGAAAACATTTAACTCTGTCTTTAGAAGTACATTTACAATGCACAGTGGTACGAAGCTCCTCTTTGGCAATGATGGTTCTGCTGTATCGCACCACCAGTTAAAATGCTCCACTGCAGCCTCCTGTAATACTGCCAAAACCATGCCATAGCCCTGCATCAGCTAACATAGGTCTGCTGGTTTTAACAGTTAATTTTCTTCACACTAACAAGTACATGGCTGTGTTTTTGGATTTGTTCTGGGAACAGGGTTGTTTTCCTTACTGCTAAGCAGTGCTTACACAGAGCCAAGGCCCCTTCTGCTTCTCACCCCACCAGTAAGTAGGACTGGGGGTGCACAAGGAGTTGGGAGGGGAAACAGCCAGGACACCAGTCAGTGCCCCAGCTAAAGGAAGGGATATCCTACACCATATGGCATCATGCTCAGCCTGTGAAGCTGGGTGAAGGTGGAAGGGGAAGAACGTTCAGAGTGATGGTGTTTATCTGCTCCCCTCACTGTTACACGTGATGGAGTCCCGCTTCCCTGGAGACTCTGCCAGTGGGAAGTGGTGAATTAATTACTTGCTTGGCTTGACTTGCATGTACAGCTTTTCCTGTATGTATTACACTGTCTTATCTCAACCCACGATTTTCTCACTTTTACCCTTCCAATTCCCTCCCCCACCCCACCAGGCAGGGGGGAAGGAGTGGCTGTGTGGAGCTGAGTTGCCAGCCAGGGTCAGACCACGAGAACAGGTTAGCTGGGGCACGGGCTGGCACAAACGTCTCCATCACTCACTCACGTGCACTGTGAGCATCTGAGCTCTTGTTCTGCTGATCCCTGCAGCTGTGGAGAATCCACTGCTGG